CACATGTCAAGAACCTGCCCCTTCACAGCTGAAGCAGTTGAAGTTGGGGTTCTAGTATATACCCCGTTGTACTGTGGTAATGAGGGCCTACGCTGTTGAGATGGGCCCAGGGAAGTCTACGCAGGGAGAAAGGTACTCAAAGTCTGTGAATCCCTTATGCCTGTGCTAGGCAAAGGAGCTGTGCCTACCCTGGGTTCCTGGCTTAGGGGAGCTGGCAGTTTGTTTTTAACTCTGTTAATTTGTTCATTCTCCAAGGCGGGGAGAATTGTTCTGGGCATGTGATGGATCCTGCTTCTGGCCTAGGGGACTCAGCAATTGCTTAAGCCCAGTCTGAGACCTAGTGCAGAGCAGGGAGTGGGTAGTAAATGGGAGAGAGGCTTTTCCCTAAGAGGGTTGTTTTTGATCCGTATGGTAGGCTGTACGCAATTATTTATCTTTTGCCGGATTGAGGGCTGCTTCTCACTGGTTTTGGGTGGCCGTCTAGACTCTGGCGCTGGGTCTCTCCCAGTGCTGATAACACGCCTCCGAGCACTGCTGCTTGCCTGCCTCACCACTCACTCCAGAGCTTCTGAGGCCTGAAGGTGTCAGGCTCTCCCCAGGTCAGGTCTGGTAACTCCTCGCTGCTTCCGAACTGTCTCTCCCTCCGCCGGCCACTCATTCCGGTTCTTCATCTCTGCCTTTGATGTTCAGGGCTCTCAGATTGCCACAGATAATCAATTCACTTGTTTTTTAGGGTCTTTGTTGTAAGAGGGTCCACTGGAAGCTTCTGAGAGTACTCTGCCATCTTGGCGCCGCCTCCCCCTGGCCTTATTCTAACTGATGATATTACGCTCCTTCGTTGTTTCTTTTCTCAGGTGTGCTCGATTTGATTCCTGTGTATTACATCTGGTGGGGTCCACATGTGTAGTTGTCATATATAATTTATTCATTATAAATACTGTTTTTTAGTTGCAGAAATGGTAACTATTTTATGCAAATAGTGGCTTGAAATTTCACCCAATACGATATATCCGTTTGTATAAAGAGTCAACCCTTTAGAAATGATCAGAGGCAAGGAGAAAATAGAAGAGAGATGCAGAGAGAGAGAGCTGAGCACCTTCAAGCAGAAGGCTTGCTAGTGTAGCGCTTTTAAAGTACTGTAATATAGGTGAAGAGTTGTAACACTAAAGACTGCCAGAGGCCAGAGAGAGAGCCCAGTGGCAGACACAGCTGAGAGGGGCTCACGTGACCATGAGGAGGCCTGTTCTGAGGGGCGTGCACAGTGGAGAGAGCTGAGAGAGCTGCCCTACACTGAGGGAAAGAATGTGCTCTTCACTTTGGGGGAGTCTTCCCTTTTGGTTTTGTAACTCTTGTATTTTCACATTTCGTTGTAATACTTGCTGTGCTTCCTGACACTGATCCTGAGTTGTAGCCTATTGCTTCTGAAATGATGCTGTTCCTGTTACTACTTCCAGGTTGATCCTGATCCCAAGTTGTAGCCTGTTAACTTCCCTAATAAACCATATAACTGTAAGTACAGTTTGTGAGTTCTGTGAGACGTTGCAGTAAATTATCTAGCCCAACAGAGAGAGGAGAGCTGGTGTGGGGTGGGGGTGGGGAGTTCATGTCAGATGAGGGAGTGGTACAGCAGCTTGGAGAAGTTGGAAATATGGGTCATGTTTAACCTCTGCCTCATAGGAACCAGCTTTGTGCTGTTTTTTATTAATGAAATAATACGTTTAGTTAGTGTTTAGAATGGTGGGGTTTGCTGCACCAGTCTAGCCTTATTGAAATATATGGTTTTGGAAAAGGGATAAACAGGAGGAGGATGAGAAATCTTTGGCTTCTGAATGGGAGAAAGAACATCCATGGTGTGAAACAGCTGTTATGTTGCAATCAGTTGCCAAAGGCAAAAGCTATTCATGATAAATAAGTGGTGGATCCAGTTTCTGAGGAACTGGCTTGTTGGGGGAATAAAGAAATGAACAGTAATAAGGAAAGAGCAAGATACACAATTCCTTCGTTGCTGGTATTGGTAATAGTTACAATGCAGGGAAAGAAAATGTAGGGGCAAATTGTGACACCAAACCAAATCCAGATCCAATCTGGTCAGAGTTACGATTGCTAGTCTAGGGCCAGTCCGGAAAGGGAAAATCGTGTTGAAATGACAAGAGGTACCTGTCTTAGTCATCTAGTGCTGCTGTAACAGAAATATCACGAGTGGATGCCTTTAACAAAGACTTTATTCTTTCACAGTCTAGGAGGCTAGAATTCTGAGTTAAGGCTGCCAGCTCCAGGGTAAGGCTTTCTCTGTCGGTTCTGGGGGAAGGTCCTTGTCGTCAGTCTTCCCCTGCTCTAGGTGCTTCTCAGTACAGGGATCCTGAGTCCAAAGGACGCGCTATTCTCCTGGCCTTTGTTTCTTGGTGGTATGAGGTTCCCCTGTCTCTCTACTTGCTTCTCTCTTTTCTATCTCAAAAGAGATTGGCATAAGGCACAACCTAATCTTGTAGATTGAGTCCTACCTCGTTAACGTGACTGCCGCTAATCCCACTTCATTAACGTTATAGAGATAGGATTTATAACACACAGGAAGATCATATCAGATGAAAAAAATGGTGGACAGCCACACAGTACTGGGAATCATGGCCTAGGCAACTTGCAAATATTTTTGGGGGACACAATTCAATCCATGACAGTACCCATGCGACCGTTGGTCACCAAGAAGGTAGTTTGGGAGGGGGATGGACAAAACCAAGAAACTATTGAAACCAGGGGTATAGTGTAAAGGAGTTGTTTTAATTTGTAGATCAATACCTTCAGCTTCCTGAGGAACCATTACTAAAATGGATTGTGAGAGTGACTAATTTAGGGAAAATTTTTAGTTTTGAATGGTGCAGAATGGAAGAGTATGTTTGGGTTCGTGCAAGATCCACAGCTCACTGTGAAACAGTCACGATTGGCGATACAAGATCAAGTTACATGGCAGGTTTTCTTGGAGGAGACAGCCAGCCTGGTGGACTGGATAAAATCCAAAGTGAAATTTGTTTGCTCTGAAGGGAGACTGCTCCTTTCCCCCTGTAAATACCAAACAGAACACTCCAGAAGAATCAGCTGATGTACTGCTTATGCAAGCCATGCCAGGTTGGCTTTATGGGAGTCAGAATATCTATCTGTTGAGTATGCCCCATACAGCAAAAAAAAAAAAACAACAAAAAAAGTCCATTGCTTTTGAGTTGATGCCGACTCATAGTGATTCCATGGACAAAATAGAACTGCCCTATAGGGTTTCCAAGCCTGTAATCTTTATGGAAGCAGACTGCCACATCTTTCTCAAGTGGAGCAGCTGGTGAGTTTGAATTGCCGAAGTTTCGGTTCGCAGCGGAGCGCTTTAATCACTGTGCCACCAGGGCTCCCTAGACAGGGCCCGTTACACAAGTCGTGGTAAATACAGTGATCAAAGGGGCCTCTTCTGTATGGGCAACCCACATAAATTTACTATTGCAAAACTGAGCAACAGTCTGAGAAGCTTTGTTGGATCTGTTGGCACAGCTTCCCCTCATGGATCTTACAATGCAGAGTCAATAAGGGCTACTACCAGGTGTAAAAATGGCGTGGCGGAGGTGTCTGAGTTTCTCTAACTTCACAAGAAGGAAGGAATCAAGATCGATAGCCCAAGGCTGATTTCTATGAGGCGGAGGTCAGACATACCTCCTTTTTCTGACATCTTTACCACTTCTGACACCAACCATACCTCCCGTGGCACTGCTGAGTTCGATAATTCATTGCAGTGGCTACACAGAACTCACAAACAATACTCACAATTATGGAGTTTTTATTAGGGAAGTGTAACAGGTTACAATTCAGGTTCAGGAACACTCAGGATACGGTTTTTCCATCAGGACAACCTCTTCTCAGCTGTTCCTGCAGGCACGCCTCTCTCGGGCCCTCGGCCTCTGCCCTGCTTGGGCAAGTGTTACAAAGCTCTTTTAGGTCTGCCAGTAACTGTCCGAAGGAAGCCACTCCACCAGTAAGCCTCTGCCTGAAGGCCCTCCTTGGGTTGGCAAACCTAGCTCCACCAAGTGCCCGGAGGCACCCTACTCCACCAGCAAGTCTCCTGCCCGCAGGCACTCAGCTTTATTGTACTTTAGGCTTCCAGCCTGCTGCTCCCATCTCCAGCTGTCCTCCCAGTTCTGCTGCTGCTGTTTCTCTGCCACTGCTCCTCCACTGCTTCTCGCAGTCTTCAGTGTTACAGCTCTCTGTCTTGGTCTCCTGGTTCCAGGAGCTTCTCAGCACAGGGATCTTGGGTCCAAAAGATGTGCTTCACTCCTGGCTCTTCTTTCTTGGTGGTGGTGTGAGTCTCCCTTCCCGCCTCTGGGATGGCTCATTTTAAGCCTAATGGGATGGCAAAAACTGACCTTTGTTAAGGTTCCATAGACCTTATTTGCACGGTCCCATCCCCACAGGGTGCCATGAGCTTTAGTTGTATTATTTGCAAGCTATCCAGTCCCCTTGGTGGACCACAGTTAACCTTACTTGTGTAGTCCTACCCATCACTTGGGTGGGAGATACAAGACCATGGCAAGAAAGACCATATCAAAGCAGTCCATCACACCGTACCAGGAAAATGAAAAAGAAAGGGAGAAAAAGAGACTTAGTTCCCTTATTCCTCCCCCTGTTCCCCCCATGACTGGAATGAAGTTTTTAGATGGTTACTAAGAAATGGACATTGATGGAGTTAAGATGGAGGTTCTAATGTAGCACTACAGGAGGTTGGGTGGACCAAAACCCTTGCTGGTCCCCTAACATTAAAGAGGCCTAAACAAGTTTGTCCTGTTGGTCCCAGTTGGGAGGAATTTAATGATGGGAAGCCCCACCTGGGACCATTTGCAGCAGAGATGCCTCCAGTCGATCAAGATAAGGAAAATACATTTAATATCCTTTGCCTATTTTTAGTCTTATGGTTTTTTGTATTAATTTGTAGGAATTCTTCATGTAAACATCTGCCTTTTATTTTCTTATAGGTCTGGGATAAAAGTGAAAATGGGGATTGGCATTGTACTGCTAGCTGGAAGGTTAGTATTTATTTTTACAGTGATTTAAAAAAAATTGAAATGTTTACCGTTTATTTGGTGGTTATCAATGACTTGCCGTTCAACTCTGAATTATAAAATTTATGATTTTTTCCTAAAACAGTATTACACATTTTCACTATTAAAGGAGCATAAATGCATTTCAAAAAATTTGAGAGTAAGAAAATCTGTAGTCCCACAACATTCTGTTCTTAGCATTTCAGCATATTTCTTTCCTTTATGTATTTTTAAGTTGTGATCTTTCATTTTTTTCTAGTTGCAGTTAATTCTGACTCATAGTGACCCCATGTATGTCAGAGTAGAACTGTGCTCAATAGCGTCAATGGCTAATTTTTTGGAAGATCACCAGGACTTTCTTCTGAGGCACCTCTGGGTGGGCTTGAACTTCCAACCTTTTGGTTAGCAGCTGAATGCTATTAATTAACCATTTGCACTACCCGGGGTCTCCTGTGATCTTTCATACATAGTTTTATTTTTATTGTGGTAGGTACGTAGGTAGCAAAACATTTGCCATTTCGGCATTCTTCCCGTGTGCAGTTCAGTAACATCAGTTATGTTCATCTTGTTGTTTGACCATTTACCATTAACCATTCCCGAATTTTTCCATCACCCTTAACAGAAGCTCAGCGTTCCCTAAGCATTGTATATCCTGCCCCCCACCCCCCGCTTTCTTTTTAACAGCTTTATTCTGGTAGAATTTTGCATACCTTACAAGTGATGAATTTCAAGTGTATGGCTCAGTGAGTTTTAGTACATTTATACAGTTGTGCAAACCATCACCACAGTCCAGTTTTGGAACACTTCCATCAACCTAATTTTTTAGATTAGATTAGATTAGATTGCTGATTTGCAATCAGTCCCCATTCCCACCCCAAGTCCCAGGCAACAACTAATATGCCTTCTGTTTCTATGGTTTTGTCTTTTCTAGAAATTTCATGTAAATGGAATCCTATCGTGTTTAGTCGTCTGTGTCTGCTTGGCTTGTTTTTGAGGTTTATCTGTGTTGTTGCAAGTCTAAGTAGCTTCTTTCTCTGTAAATGCTAGGGTAGTAGTGTGTTGTATAGATAAGCCACATTTTGTTTATCCATTTATCAGTTGATGGACATTTGAATTGTTCCTAGTTTTTGACTATTATGAATAATGCTACTGTGAACATTCCATACAAGTAACTTTGTGTGGACATTTGTTTTCATTTTTCTTGGGTAGGTACCTAAGAGTGGAATTGCTAAGTTGTGTATGTTTAACTTTTTAAGGAACTGTCAAACTCTTTTCCAAAGTGGCTGTACCATTTTATATCCATCCTCCCCACCCCCAGCAATATATGAGGATTCCAGTTTCTCTTCATCTTCACATATACCTGGTATTATCTGTCTTTTTGATTATAGCCATTCTAGTGGAGCCCTGGAGGCACGGTGGTTAAGAACTCACCTGCTAACCAAAAGGTCGGTAGTTTGAATCCACCAGCCACTCCTTGGAAACCCTTTGGGGCAGTTCTCTGTCCTGTAGGGTTGCTGTGAGTTGGAGTCGACTCGACGGCAATGGGGTTTGTTTTTTTTTTTTCCCCCAGTGGGTGTAAATTGGTGTTCCAGTGTGGTTTTGATTTGCATTTTGTTAATGACTAATGGTGTTATTATCTTTCCATGTGCTTATTTGCCAGTCTGTTAACTTCATTGGTGAGGTATCTAACCAAAACTTACCCATTTTTTTGTTGTTGTGGTAAATTCAGATAACATAAAATTAGCCATTTTAAAGTGAACAGTTCACTGGCACTTAGTACATTCACAGTGTTGTGCAACTACCTCCTTGATCTAGTTCCAGAATATTTTTATCACTCCAAAAGGAAACCCCTATTTCTTGCTTTTCAGCAAAACAACATAATTCATAAGTACTCTCTATGTTTGTAAAGTCTCTTTATAAACATCGAATAAATATACTGTTATTTAACTGATTAATATTTAAGTGGTTTCCTTTTTATTGTGACGAATATCTTAGTGTAAACCTTATTCTTTAGACTGCGCTTTACTGAGAATCTAGCATTTTCTAAAACCTCTCTGTCTTAATGCATTTTTTACTTAATTAATTGAGTCATGGTGACCCTATATGACAGAGTACAGCTGCACCATAGGTTTTCTCAGGCTGTAATCTTTACAGGAGGACAGCTCCAGGTCTTTTCTCCTGTGGAGCTGCTGGTGGGTTTGGACTACTGACCTTTTGGTTAGCAGCTGAGTGCTTACCCATTGTGCTGCCAGAGCTCCTTTTTTCCTTAATAGCCCTGTATAAATAAAAGGTGAAACAAAAATGACTGGGCAAAACAGAGGATAAAAAGTAAAGAGTGCAAACTTTATCTTCGGATGATGACATTGTTACCATGTAGAAGTTACTGGGTTAAGAAAGTGTTCTCATTTGTTGATTGTAAAAAGTTAAATATACGTAAGTGTGAAATACGTTTTCTGAACATAATTGTTGATCTTTGTTATCATATAGTATTTTTACTAGAAAGCACCTAGCAGCTAATTCTTTTGACGTAAAAATGCTTTAAGACCTTTCTCTCCTTTTTTGTCAACTTGAAGAATTCAAGAATAGTAATATGGTAATTTTCATATGTAAAGATATTGATAACTGAACCTTGAATTATTTTCTTAGTAGAATACAAGGATTTGGGCTTCTCTTCATTTGCTCCCTCATTGTCTCTTTTCCTAGGATAGTCCACTTCTAGTCAGACATCTGGTACAGTCACGTACGCAGTTTGTTGTTATAGTCTGTATTTACTTTTAGGCTTTTGAAGCAAATAATTTTGATTAATTCCATTTATTTTTTTAGGTGGATGTTTCCTGTAGAGAGAAATTTGATAGTGAATAAATGGTACACTGGTAGAATCTCTGTGTAAAAGCTTGGTCAGGCTAAATTCTGAAGAAAGTCTCCTAAAGTCAACTTTATCCAGCTGATTTTTCTTTATTAGTAAAAGGTTAAAAGAATTTTACTCCAGAGGGGCCGCAATTCTAAATACAGAATATTTTCTAGATGTTAAAAAATTTAGATATTGAGTATCTGTCCTTTTTTTAAAAATTCCCAGACACATAGTGGATCTGTGTGGCGTGTGACATGGGCCCATCCTGAATTTGGACAGGTTTTGGCTTCTTGTTCTTTTGACCGAACAGCTGCTGTATGGGAAGAAATCGTAGGAGAATCAAATGATAAACTTCGAGGACAGAGTCACTGGGTGAGACATTTGTTAATATTCTGTGGGGTTGGGGTGGGGGCAGGGGTGGTGTGCACCTCAGGTACTTGGTAAAATGTGATCACTCCCCACTCTATTTGCCATTTCCATTTTTTTCTTCCATGTTTTTATCCTACTTTTTAAATATAATTTTGTGTTTTTTTATATCATTTAAATTGTTAATTAATTTTTTCAGGTTAAGAGGACAACTCTAGTGGATAGCAGAACATCAGTTACTGATGTGAAATTTGCTCCCAAGCATATGGGTCTTATGTTAGCAACCTGTTCAGCCGATGGTATAGTAAGAATATACGAGGCACCAGATGTTATGAATCTTAGTCAGTGGTCTCTGCAGCATGAGATCTCATGTAAGCTAAGCTGTAGTTGTATTTCTTGGAACCCTTCAAGGTAAGCTAAATGTCAAACCTCTGATAATATAATTGTAGTAAAGCAAATGGGTGATTTTTAAGCTAAGAATTTGATGGTTTAGTTTCTTAAACATGTTCTTTTTAAACAAGTACTCTTGTTTATTGTTTAAATAAATATATATCATGGAGAGTAAAATCTCTCCCTTCTCCACACTGTCATGTGTCTTGTCCTCCGATTTCCGTGCCATAGAGGAAACCAACCATAGCAAATATTTTTGTGTGAAACTTATGGGCATTTTTAATGCATATGCTAATAAGTATTTAATGGATTTGTAAGTGCAGACATAGGAAAATATAACCAGCTACGTAGTAACACATAAAGGTAGACACAAAACAAACACATATACAAAATACATATTTTCCCTCCCTGCAATTTTTTTTTCCATTTATAAATACTTTGTGAGCATTTTTCTATATAATAGTACATATAACTGCCTCATTCGTTTAACTGCTGTATAGATTGTGACTGTATGAGTGTACCATGGTTGATTTTTATTGAACTATTTTTAAAAAATTATACAAATAATGAATCACTTGGTAAAGAAATTAAAATAATCTGTGTAAGGGTACTAAATGAAAGTTGAAAGTTTCATTACCCTCTAAAAACAAATGCTGTTAATACTGGGTTTTTTTTTTTGTGTGTGTGTTTGTGTGCATTAGGTAAAAGTTTACAGACTAAATTAGCTTCACGTTCTATAGTTTATGCCTAAAGTATTTCATGACCTTGGCTTCATTCCCCACAATGTGTTGGCACTCTCACCATTTCCGCCTTGGGTTCTCCTTTCCTTTCGTCCTAATTTTCTACCCCTTCCTGCTTTCTCATCTTTGCTTTTGGGCAAATACTGCCCTTTTGATTTAGTATAATTGATTGTTCTAAGAAGCAGTTGATTGTTTTCTGGACTTGTGTATTGTTTGGCTGGAAGGTGGTCTCCAGGAATGGCTTCACTTCCAGGTCAGAAGAGTGTGTTAGGACCATAGTCTTGGGGCTTCCTCCAGCCTCTATCTGATCAATAAGTCTGGTCTTTTTCGAGAATTTGATTTTTTTTGTTTTACATTTTCCTCCTGCTCTGTCAGGGACCCTCTGTTGTGATCCCAGTCAGAGCAGTCGGTGGTGGTATCTGGGCACCATCTAGTTCTTGCGGTCTTGGGGTCATGTAGGCTCTGGTTCCTGTCATCCATTAGTACTTTGGATTAATTGCTCCCTTGAGTCTTTGGTTTTTTTCACTCTCCTTTGCTCTGGACTGGAAGAGACCAGTTGTATCTTAGATGGCCGCTCCCAAGCTTTTAAGATCCCAGACACTACTCACCAAAGTAGGATATAGAACACTGTCTTTATGAACTATGTCCAGTTGATGTAGATGTCCCAAGTCTATGGTCCTTTGCCTTCAAGCCTAGGAACTTCATCCTGCGAGGTGTTTGGTTATGTCTAAGAGGTTTCCCTGACTGTGCCCCTTGTGTGCTTATCATCTATATTAACGTATGAAGAGCACCTACAATTATGTATTTAGAAGTATCCACCACCGAACCTGTATCTCCTGGTGGGTGTGCTCTCTGACACCCTCCCACACCTCTTGGTATATCTATTTATGCATCCATTCATAAATTATTGTTTTTTAATACTATTGTTGCAAGATTGTCTATGCTATAGTAGTTACCATAAAGAAAACCAAAAAAACCCTTTGCTGTACAGTCAGTTCCAACTCATAGCAACCCTATAGAACAGAGTAGAGCTGTCCCGTAGGGTTTCCAAGGAGCAGCTGGTGTATTCAAACTCCTGATCTTTTGGTTAGCAGCTGTAGCTCTTAACTACTCTGCCATCAGGGCTCCGGTACTTACCATAAAGAAACCAAACCCGTTGTCGTTGAGTCGATTCTTGTTACCGTAGTTGCCCTTTATTCCCGCATTCGTCACAGTGTCCTCTCTTGCCTTGTTCTTATGCTGACTTCTCAATATTGTGTATTGTCCTTCCCTTCATAAATATTAACATTTGTCTACTATCTTTTTGGAAATTTCAAAGACGGCTATCTGCCAACCGATTGGAAGAGATCCATATTTGTACACATTCCAAAGAAAGATGATCCCAAATAATGCAGAAATTATTGAACAGTATCATTAATATCACACGCAAGTAAAATTTTGCTGAAGATCATTCAAAAACGGTTGCAGCAGTACATCGACAGGGAACTGCCAGAAGTTCAAGCCTGTTCAGAAGAGGACTGGAACAAGGAATATTATTGCTGATGTCAGATAAATCGTGGCTGAAAGCAGAGAATACCAGAAGGATACATACCTGTGTTTTACTGACTGTGGAAAGGCGTTCGACTCTATGGATCATAACAAATTATGTATAACATTGCCAAGAATGAGAATTCCAGAACACTTGATTGTGCTCGTGAGGAACCCGTACTTAGACCAAGAAGCAGTCATTTGAACAGGACAGGGGGATACTGCGTGGTTTAAAGTTAAGAAAGATGTGCGTCAGGGTTGTATACTTTCATCATACTTATTCAGTCTGTATGCTGAGTAGATAGTCTGAGAAGCTGGACTAATGAAGAAGAATGTGTCATCAGGTTGGAAGAAGACTTATTAACATCCTGTGATATGCAGATGACACAACTTTGCTTGCTGAAAGTGAGGAGGACTTGAAGTACTTAATGATGAAAATCAAAGACCACAGCCTTCAGTATGGGTTGTACCTCAACCTAAAGAAGACAGAAATCCTCACAACTGAACCAGTAAGCAACATCATGATAAATGGAGAAAAGATTGAAGTTGTCAAGGATTTCATTTTACTTCAATCTACAATCAGTACCTATGGAAGCAGCAGTTGAGAAATCAAAGGGTGCCTTGCATTAGGCAAATCTGCTGTGGAAGACCTCTTTAAAGTGTTCAAAAGCAAAGATGTCACTTTAAGGACTAAGGTGTGCCTGACCAAAGCCGTGGTGTTTTCAGTCACCTCATATGCATTTGAAAGCTGGACAATGAATAAGGAAGACTGAAGAAGAATTGATGCCTTTGAACTATGGTGTTGGCAAAGAATATTGAATCTACCATGGACTGCCAGAAGAGTGGACAAATCTGTCTTGGGAGAAGTTCAGCCAGAATGCCCATTAGAAGCAAGGATGGTGAGACTTTGTCTCACATACTTACCAGGAGGGACCAGTCCCTGGAGAAGTACATAATGCTTGGTAAAGTAGAGGGTCAGTGAAAAAGAGGAAGACCCTTAATGAGTTCGATTGACACAGCAGCTGCAACATTTAGCTGAAGTATAACAACGTATGTGAGGATGTCACTGGACCAGGCACTCTTTCTTTCTGTCGTATATAGGGTCCCGTGAGTCGGAACCTACTCGATGGCACTTGATAACAACAATCTATTTGGTAATTTTCCCTCCCTCCCTCCCTCTTCCATCCCTGGTAACCATCAAAGAATGTTTATTTTTGTTTGAGATCCTTTTGTTATTACTTTATAATAGCAGTCTCATACAATATTTATCCTTTTGTGATTGATTGCTTTCACTTGGCATAATGTTTTCCAGATCCATCCATGTTGTGAGATGTTTCAAGGATTTGATATTTTCCTTTATCGTTGTGTAGTATTCCATTGTGTGCGTGTATCACACAGTTTGTTAATCCAGTCATCTGTTGATGGTCACTTGGGTTGTTTTCATCTTTTTGCTATTGTAAATAATGCTCCAGTGAACATAGGTGTGCATATTTGTGTCATGGCTCTTATTTCTTTAGGGTATATACTTAGGAGTAGGATTGCTGGATCATATAGTATTTCTATTTCTTGTTTATCGAGGGAGTGCCATACTGTTTTCCATAGTGGTTATACCATTTTACATCCCCACCAGCAGTGTGTAAGACTTCCAGTCTCCCCACAGCCTCACGAACATTTTTTATTTTTTTTTATTTTTTGATTAGTGCTAGTAATGTCAGGGTAAGATGGTATCTCACTGTAGATTTGATTTGCGTCTCTCTAATTGCTAATGATCGTGAGCATTTCTTCATATGTTTGTGAGCAGCCTGAATGTCGTCTTTGGTGAAATGTCTGTTCATATCCTTTGCCCCTTTTTTTAACAGGTTTGTCTTCTTTTTGGTTGAGGTGTTGAAGTTTTCTATAAATTTTAGAGAGTAGATGTTGTCAGATATATCATAGTCAAAATTTTTTCCCCAATCTGTAGGTTCTCTTTTTAGTCTTTTGGAGAAGTTGTTTGTTGAGCATAAGTGTTTAATTTTTAGGAGGTCTCATTTATTTAGTTCATCTTTTTCTGTGTGTACACTTTTATTTATGTTTGGTATTCTATTTATGCCCTAGTGTTGTCCCTGTTTTTTTTCCTCCATGATTTTTATATTTTTAGATTTTATTATTAGGTCTTCGACCCATTTTGAGTTAGTTTTTTTGTATAGTGTCAGGTATGGCTCCTGTTTCATTTTTCTACAGATAGATAACCAGTTTTGCCAGCACTGTTTGTTGAAGAGACTTGCCTCTTCCCCACTTAATAGACTTTGGTCCTTTGTTGAAGATCAACTGTCCATAGGTGGCTGGATTTACTTCTAGGTTCTCGATTTTGTTCCATTGGTCTGTGTGTCTATAATTGTATCTGTGCTAGGCTGTCTTACTACTATGGCTGTATAGTAGATTCTGAGATCACGTAGTGTGAGGCCTGCTAATTTGTTCTTTAATAAAGCTTTACTTAACCGAGGACTCTTTCTCTTCTGTATAAAGCTAGTGATTAGTTTTTCTACTTCATTGAAGAATGCCGTTGGGATTTGGATTGGGATTGCATTTTATCTATATATTGCTTTGGGTAGTATTGACATTTTCACAATGTCAAGTCTTCCTATCTAAGAGCATGGTATGTTTTTCCACTTACGTGGTGTCTTTTGGTTTCTTGCAGTCGTATTTTGTAATTTTCTTTGTATAGGTCTTTTCCATCCCTGGTTAGATTTATTCCTAAGTATTTTATATTTTAGG